CCGCATTTTGCTACCCTACTTTCAGGATACCTGAAAGTTCCGTTGATATATAGGTAACTATACCTACAGTATGATAGGTACAAAATCACACCGATGTATTGATCATTCCCAGGGCCGCTGGAGCATCCAAAGGCTGCAAGGAGTAAACCAAGTCTGTATATATATATAGTATTTTTTCAAATATATATATATATATATCTATTACTATAATATATATATATATATATGTTCAATCATCCGTATACACGTTGTCTGCTTCCAACCGACAAGGCTCCAACATCTGTTGACCCGTCTGCTTCTCCATCCGCAGAACCGGCCACTCCACCAGAGGCGAGCCAAACCCTGGAGGAGCGAAGTCGTGACCACATCTTTTAAGGTCAACTGATGATTGATCAACCTCCGCACCTTGGAAAACGCAAAGCCTCGTCAAATGAAGGGGTTGAAAATGGTTAACATCGATGTTTCAACGTCGGCCCGGCTCGGGGATCGGTGAAAAGCTTCCGCCGAACTGCGGGTATTTGTACAGTGCAAAGAAGCACTATTTGTCCAAAGCCAGAAGCAGTCCACGTTGTGCAAGGTTTTGATGATCAAGCGTATGCAAAGGGCGTGGTGCTGTTGACTACTGTGGTTGTCTTTGTGCCTCTGTTTGGCCTCTGTTGATGGCACGCATGAAAGGAATGCTTGGCGTGACACGGAAGCAGCAACATACGGGTGGTCAACTTGTTCCGCCCTTGTTCAGTCAACTTGTTTAGGTATATGTTGCTTCAAGACACAACCACAATCCAAATGTTGTGGAAGCAACCGTCGGATAAAGCCAGTTCGTTTGACCCAACCATCAATGAAGATCAACGACGATCCCACATCCATCATTTGTTCAAGGAGCTCTTCCTGCTTGGGAGTAAGGCAGGCACAAATGCAGCCTTTCGTCGCCTCAATGGGACAAAGGACATCAAAGGACTGCCTTCACAAAGCGGGGCTGGTGCGAGCTTCATGGATCTAGGACTGGCTCTGTCGCTTCATGAATGGATGTACTGATTCACATGATACCAGTTTCAAAGGGTCTCCCAGGCCTGCATTCTGTTGGTGCTTGACAAGAACTCCAAATTCAATCACTACTAAAACCAAAGTGGCGTATATATTTGTTGAGATTTGGGGATGGGATGACGTCCCGGTGTTCACATTGCAAATTCATGGGGTGCAAATCTCACCAAGAAAAACATAAACCTTGCCAGGCCATGCGTGATCCACACACACATGGAGAAGAACCTGCCAAAGCAAGGGAACCATCAAGGTTAGACACTCCAACCTTGTGACATCGTTTCACATTTGGACTCTGGTAGCATCGCGGCCGGGGGTCCAGGGACGGTGTTGAAGCAGATGTTTAGAGGGAGGGGATATCCGTTAAATGTGAAACAAGTTTCTTCCCAAACGCCAATAGCTGTGCATTCAATCATATTCAATCCAAAGGACGTGTTCATCTTATATACCATTTTGCCACAATGTTTCAAGGTCGCAGATCGGGACAGAAAAGCAAACCCTTTGTAGTCTTGCCCTTTCAGGAAGATATGCGTGCAGCCTTCAAAAAAGGTCTGTTATTTTTGATGGGGTCCAAACCCATCAGTGCAAACATGATTGGTTCAGCTGCAGGGCATATTCAGCGTACTCAGCGGGTTCTTGCGAGCGTGCTCAGTGAACTCAGGCTATTCACACCCACTTTGCACTGCAGTGCTTCAGGCTCTGACTTCAACGGTGCTTGCAGGTGCTTATTTTTTCTTGACCGCACCAAAGGTGCTGAAATCCGCGTGCATTGAGTTGTGGCGTGGTCATCGGCTATATAAAAAAAGAACTTGGCGTCCGGTCGGCCCTTTTCCGGAAACCGAACATGCCCCGTCCGGCGGGGAGTGCAGGGGAAGGTGCGGTGTCTGGGAGTGTCTGAGTCGTGGTATATACCTGGATCTTCCAACGACCAAAAAAATTCTGGTAGTTTTGGTTATTGACCCGGTTTTCCGCGCAAACGCCCGCAAATCAGTGCAACCGACAAAACGACCGCAAATTAGCACAAAACGCACGCAAAAAAAACAGCAAACGACCACAAAAATCCGCAAAATAACGCAAAACAAACAAAACGACCAAAACGACCATAAAACCAAAACAACCATAATTTTTTGGTAGTTGGAAGGTCCAGGTATGTTTGCAGTAAGAAATGAGCAACAAAAACTGGTGGAAAGGAATCGTTTGTTGGCCTTTCATGTCGTTTGTGCAAAGGATGCAAGTGTATGATCGATGCAAAAGACCCGAATAACAAATGGCAAACTGCAGTGCAAAGGAATAATGACAAATGATCTTAACAAACCTGAACGAACAACCATATTGCCTTACTTGAGATTCTAGACGACCAGACTAGGTCAACTCAACTCTGTAAATGCTTAAAACGGTTTGGCTATAGGGATTTCAGGAACCCCTTTTTGCGCTCCTCCCTTTGAGACCTTGACCGGCGAAGATCTGCAATCCAATAGCGATGGCCTCCAACCTAATAGCGATGGCCTTCACCGAATTGTCCGCCATGTTTCCTTCCTGCTCTCGGTTGGATCCATTGAATCCGCTCTCGCTCACCGATCCATCGCAAGACTCCCGGTGCGAAGACACTGCTACGGTCCGACCTGACCGCCGCCCATGCCCGAGAACACCGTAGCACTGGTTCCGGTGGCTCAGGTGGTCTGACCCGGTTCCGGTCCAAGGCACATAGTATTTGCCACCTTCGCAGTAATGAGCGCATGACCAGTAGTAGGCCTGGCCATTCGTGACGTCAGAGTATCCTGGCCGAACTGGGGAAACGGGACAGGCGGTCACAGGTCAGATACAGAGTCTATCGCCTTTTGGTCATCACTACCCTATGTACTGCATGGTGGCAGTAGGTGACACTATGAAAAATACAGTCATGTCATGTCATGTCATGTCTGTCCAGATTCGAACCCGCTCTGTCAAAATCTATCAAACACATCTTGCATGCTGCCACTGAAGCATTCGTGCTCAAAACGAACCACTCCGAAACCATTGGTTTTCATTCGCCCAAGTCGGTCATCGGCAAAAATTGTGCACTGAAAGAGACCGACATGGAACCTGAAAACCAGTGGTTTCATAAAGATTTTGCTAGTCTTCCAAGGTCCGCAGAAGCAAAGCAAAGCAAGCAAGCAGCCCATATCAAGAATCTGCCCACTTTGGCAGTAGATTCGTCATCAACATCACTGTAGCAAAGTGGCACCAACAAGTAGAAGAAAGTGTGTGGGGCCCACCACCAGAGCATGTGCCCAACGTGCTCTTGACATCTCTCTCTTCTGAGCTTGAAATTCCTTCCGTTGGGGGTCACTACTCACTAGGAATCGTCAGCTTTTTTGTCTCTTCAAAGAGCATCAGTCTCTTCACCTTGAAGGCCTTAATGACCGAGATCACATCTGGACTAATTACAATACATCATACCACATCAAGAGGGGTTTCATCCCAGGACTGTTACTGTTCAACTATGCCAATCCAGGAATAAGGAAAACAGAGCTGGGACGCCCTTGGCACCCAAGGGCCTTTTCAAGTGTTGCGTTTGGTGGTGCCTAATTTAGAGAACTTCTGACCTCACGTCTAGACCGGGGAGAGCAACAGGCCAGAACCCATTGGGCCAGGGGGTCTCCCTATTAAAATACACACTGCATATTTACCCATATATATAATAAACAACAACATGAGAGCGATAAAAGGAACAAACAGGTACTGTTATATAATAACCACAGGAGCAACCAAACCCTAGACCCTTTTCCGAAAACCGGTGTTTTGGCATATAAGACGACGAAAACCCAGTGTTTCAGAGAAAAACTCAGTTTCTCATGTTCAGAACCCGTATTTATCCCGTGCAAAACCCGTAATTTGCCCGTTAAAACCCGTCTTTTGTGAATGGTTTTCGAGAAACCCGGTGTTAGTTGCAAAAACGTTCTTTTTTTTGAGACCCTACATTTTTCTATGTTTTGGATGGTCTTGGAATATATAGATTATACAATAGAACTGATTCATCATGGCTGCTGATCCTTTCCTGACCATGCCGCCAAACACAAGTTACAAACTCCGCCGACACCTCGACACGTCTTCACCATGCATTGTGTAATTAGTTCATCGTCAGCTTCCATTTCCATGGCAGAATCACGTCCGTACAGCCTTACAAAATTAAAGGGCATCTATCATGAACTTCAGCACAAGTACAAGTACTTGGCTAGTTGGGAATCGGGGTACAAACGGTGTAACCATCGAAGTAGATCTTTCGTCAACGACAAGGCTGTCGTCTCCTGGCTTGCATTGCGCTTGCACCAAACGCTGACTGTCGGTCTGCAGCTGGCGTCCCCGCAGAAAGCGTGTGGAGCTTTCCGCGGCCTCCGCGCCCTCCGCCAGGGACAGATCCACCAGGTCGAAGTGAAGGAGGGAGAAAAGGATGCCGCGCAAGGCCATGAAGTTGATCGCCTGGTCTTCTGGACATTTCCAGGATGAGGGTTGAGAAGCTTTTCAAATGAACTCTCAAACCCTGTTAACAGGGCCGACTGGGTCTGTTCCAACCACCTTCGCCCCCATTCCGCCGAATAGAAACACATGTCGTCCGTGAGTTCGATCCCAAAAACCAACAAAAACCGTCGACACCGTGGAGTGACTGTCGACCGCGACTTACTCGACTCACTCGACTCTACCGAGCGTCAGACCGACGTGTCTCGTGTCTCTCGTCAGTGAGCAATGTTGTTATTTTTTTCAGGGAAAACCACACAGCCACACACTGTGACATCAGTGTCACAAAGATTCACATGGTTTCTGGCAACTTTTGGCTGGCGAATGCGATACCAAAACAACTGGTAAAGTCTTAATAGCCCCTTACAAGTGATTCGGGCTGTCCATTCACCACCTCGACGGTCCTGGGATCCTGGAACATGCTCTTCCGCTGTCGACTGTCCAACACCTCCCCAACCAAGTTGCACTCATGAAAACCGCAATGGGCGATGTCCCGTCCGTCTTGGATATATGAAAGCTCAAAAAAAACTGCAGAAGCCACAAATGGCGGCGGATGGAGTGCCGGATGGAGGAACATCCTCTGGTAGAACCTTCTGAGCTGGGAATTTGGTTTAGCTCCGCGGTCCGCAGTCTGAAGAAGGTTCTGCTTCAACATATACACCATTAGACCAAAGTGTTTCTTTTTGAAGGCTCCAAAGTGGCAACCCTTTCCCCGTAGAATCCTGCGAGACAATGGACAAGTCACCTCACACGCGATGGAGACAGTGATTTACCTGTGACAACTCATTCTTTACCAATCGAAACCCTGGGGTTGAATCCGGAAAGCCTCAGCTTCAGGGAAACCCTGTGTTTGGCCAAACCCATGACAAAACCGTGATTTACACATGACAAACCGTGAAAAAAAACACTGGGTTGAATCCTTCAGTATCCGTCGGAAGTCTTAGGTGTTGGTTTGGATGTATCATCGCTGAGCCAGCCTCGTTCTGGGTGCCAAGAACAAAAAACCCAGATTTGGGGTGCAAACCCTGGTTTTGAAAGCAAACCCTGCGCACTTCTCGGGTCTGGCGGGTGAAGGTATAGAAATGTATAAAATGCATTATCCCAGGCATCCACATACCTTCTCACAAGGTCTTTGGACCCTCCAAACCTGCATAAACAGTGTCTCCAATCTCCTTCTCACAAGGTACAATATGTGGATCCATAGGGAATATGATATGTGCATGCCTAAGCCATCAGAAGCTACGCGTGAGAACTCCGATGATGGGTCGATGATGGAGTAAGTCCCAATCAAAGGCATCCACGGTCGCATCAACTAAATGAAACAGGTACGAGTACTAAACCCAAAGCAGTCTTATGGAAAAGTCGATGTATACTCGTGATGTTTAACCAAATTGCATATATTTGGAATCAACCCTAGACACTCTATGGGACTGGCATATTTACCTACGTTGGGGTGGTTTCAGGAGTCAATGCATATATGTATATATGCCAGTCTGCATCGGTCGTGTCTGGGGTCGATTCCAAGTCGCCCTCCTACCACTTCGGTGTACTTCGCATGACGAGGTACTTTGCCAGCTGTGCTTCTGTGCTTCGCTGTGCTTCTGTGCTTCGTGACTGAAGAAAAACATGATGGGACTAGGCATCCCAGGCCAAAAGCTCACTCTCCTTGGCGTCCTGCAGAGTGTAGAGACTGCAAGTCTTCCCCTCTAAAACTGTCCGTCCTCACGACCACGACGGAGAACCGACGGACTGAGACGGACCGACGGACCGACGATGTCGGTGGCCAAAAGTCTGGTGGATCACACTGAGGCGAATAAGACTTCGAAAGAAACATTCTGAACAAATAGCGAAACATGGCATTCGAACTCACTGTTCGCCTAAAGTCTGTCTGTCTTGGTGAATTCCGTTTATTTCAACAAACCTTCGTCAAGTTGCTCTCCAGTGCTTCTTCCTAAAACCCATCCTCGTGACTTCAACAAGTTATCTTGGAACAGTTCGGTCGATGCTCTCAGGCTCTCCATCTTTTAAGCCATGCGCATGCTGAGGAGAAAAATGATGGGTTTGTGCGCAATCTCTCTGCAAACTCTCCCGAGTTCCAATGTGAGACGTGCTCTCTCATTGGAACAAGACGTGTTTCATCTCCATCTCCGCAGTTGAAACATACGTACCAAACCCAGGCACTCCATGTAAGGAATATATGCCGACATTGACCCCAAAACCACCCCAATGTAGGTAAATATTCCATACGTGGAGTCTTTGGGAAATGATGTGTTCAGGAGCCTTGGCCCACAGAAATGGCCAACGCCGCAATCAAATGAGTGACGAAGCTGGTCATCACGAGCGGCGATCTCGGGAATGCACCTAGTGTCTGTGTCCGAGTGTCACGTGTGCGCGTCGTTGTGTAGCAAGAAGCTACTAGGAGCTAGAAGCTTCCCTGGCAATCGTTTCACCTGTAAGTGGGCACTTTGGAAAGAGAGTGGCGAGCGCTTCAAAGAGGAGACCTTCTTTGTCTTCTGTGAGTCTGTGAGCATCCACTTCTGTGCCTTCCAACGTTCTCTTCATGGTGCGTCACGTCTGGTTAAGCCACTTATACCAGTGCTTTGCAACCTCCAAGAACATACTCCTGTACTATTTGCTCCAGGACTTTGGGAGCAAACGTTTCTGGGTTTCGATCGGGACACGGACACCCTCGACAGTGCATAAAGGAAGACTGACCCGCATATTCCACGATACTCACACCCGGACCCACGTATTCAAAAAATTGCAAACCATGTTTTCATTCCGAACCACGCAAGCCCATGAGTGTTTCATTTCATGTGTCTCAACCCGCAGCACGCTACGTATATAGGCTGTCCGATTGGGAGAACAGCCCTTGCAGCAGAACATCCCGACTTGGCTAAAACATTTAATGTGTCCTAGCTCACCAAAATTGACAATCGCACTTGGCTAGAACAATGTGCTACAGTACATTCTTAACACCCTCGTCACAAACTCCGAACGAATCTCTCCCACCCCCGTCCTTCTCGCGCATGCGTTCCGAGAGCCGGTGCCTGGTCCGGCACCGCGGCGGCACCGCGTAGCATGCGCAAGGGTGGCACATGGGGTGTCCACTCCAAATCCCTGAGAACACACCCTGCAGCCTGCAACTGCCTGAGAGTTCAGCTCGTCCAAAATCGGTTCGCCCAAAATCATGAACACACAAACCAGACGAAGTGTTCGATAGTGTTCGGTGTTTCCTTTAAGTGGGGTGTCTAACATCTGGAGATTCGAGCATTTTTTTGCACCTTTCCAAGAGCAAACCCTTCAACTCACCCAGCAAGGGTAGGAGGCAGACGCGTGACAAACTGCTGTTCAAACCGGTTTTGAAATTCCCCACATCTCTGTGTGGGGTTCTAGTTTTGTTGGCTGCCATCCCGCCCGACTCCGTCCTTACTTCCCTCCGTCCTTCCCTCCGTCCCTCCCTCCTTCCCTCCGTCCTTCTGTTACACACACAGTCATCTTGTGATCATCTGACACATATCCACTCACATTCGCCCTTCTTGTCACACCTCACACCCGCAGTGGCCGGCGTAGTATCCACTCAGAACTTCATCTATTCGCCCTTCTTGTCATACCTCACACCCGCAGTGGCCGGCGCAGTCTCCAGAGACTGCAGAAGGGGGTGCGGCGCGCGTTGTCGCCGCTGGGGGCCCGGCTCTCTCCGCAGTGGCCG